AAATTAAAGGTTGCAAAGTGCTCGGCAATATACAAGCAGAATAAACTCCAAGAATAACTACATGCCTAGATATATCACAGTCATATTTCTTGGAAACCAAAGATAAATAAGTAATTCCTGAAAGTATCTAAAGGAAAACAACAGAGGAGAAATTATTCAAGATTAGGTGGTTTCACATTCAGAAATCACAGGATCAAGAATACAGTGAAGCAACACCATTAAAATGCTGAATGAGAAGACTGTCAACCCAGAATTCTAGATATTCAGTGAAAAAGACTTCAATAAAGAACAAAATGAAGACAATCATGAATGGAAGAAAGCAATGTCATGGAGTTTGTTATCAGAATGTTTGATGAGAAATTCTAAAGGAAGTTCTGCAAGGTTAAGGGAAATGGCACGAGAGGGAGTAAGAGAGAGAAAGGGAGGACCATCGTGGGTAGAGATAAGATGAAGAGTTTATCAATTCTGAAAGTAAAAAATTTCTTCCTTTTTTTTTTTTTAGAAAACATGAAGAAAGAGAAAGGTGTTTTATCTTCATCCATATACAAAGGATTTAATTAATCTAATTAATTTAATTAACCTAATCAATTTGAACCTCAATTCATTTGTGAGTTATATCAGTTTATTGGAAACAAATGAATCTGTCTAGTCTGATTATTCAGAGAAAGGAAGTAAAAGGAGAGTTTATCTCCACCCAAATAGAAAATAAGTAATTGAAGAAAAATCAGACCTGGCTTATATAAAAGCAATGTTCTTGGTAACTTGGCATTATGTAGAATAGAGTTTTGCCTGTAAAAGGATTAACACTTGATGCTCTGTAATTTTATCTGTGAATTACTTTAAATATTTTAATCAATATTTATCTTATTTGTTTTGCAGAGAAAACAAAAGGAAATGGTGAGTTTCAAATTTTGATCCACTTACAAAGATATCATTGCAGCAAAGCCAGTTTTAGACAATAACAAGGAAAGGATTCCAATATCTTCACATTAGGTAGAATAGAACTTTCCCTTAGTATATCAGTCTGCTGTCTGCCTCTGTGAATTTACCTATTCTGGTAGGATCTCATATGCACGGGATTATACAATATGCCACCTTTATGTCTGCCTCCTTCTTTCACTTGCATAAAGTTTTTGAGGTTCACTCATGTTGTAGCATGTATCACTACTTCGTTCCTGAGTAATGATGAGTCACACTTCATTGTATGAGTATACCACATTTTGTTTATCCATAAACTGTTGGTGAGCATTTGGGCTTTGCATACATTTTGATCATTGTGAATGGTGTTCCTTTGCATATTTCTGTATATGTATTTGTTTTAATGCCTGTTTTCAACTTGGGGGCTTTATACCTAGCAATTGCTGCATCACACGATACACTTTGTTTAACTTTTTGAGCATCTGCAAAACTGTTTCGCATAGAGATGGCACCATTTTACATTACAACTAGCAATGTATTAGAATTCCAGTTTCTCTGCAATCTCAACAACACTTGTTATTTTTCATTTTTTAAAATTATAGCCATACTATGGCCTGTAAAGTGGTATCTCATTGTGGTTTTGATTTTTATCTCCCTAATGACAAAAGAAGTTGGGCATTTTTTCGTATGCTAGTTGACCATTTGTACATCTTCCTTGGAGAAATGTCTGTTCAAGTCCTTTGCTCATTTTGAAACTGGGTTCTTTTTGTTATTGAGCAATCAGAGTTCTTTTTTTTCTATATGTATTCTTGATACTAAGCCCTTAAATTCATAATTTGCAAATATTTTCTCTCATTCTGTATCTTGTCTCTTCACTTTCTGATCTTTTGATGCACAGAAGTTTTCGATTTTTATTAAGTTTAAATTATCTGTTGTTTTTTTTTCTTTGTTGCTTGTGCATTGGTGTCATTTCTAAGAATCCATTTCAAATGCAAGGACATAAAAATGTACCATTAT